CCTGTGTAGGCTGAAGACCCTTAAATTTTATTATTGTCATCTTGCCGCCCCTTTTGAAGATAGTGCAGAATCTGCTGGTATAACAATAACTGTCCAACAAAATTCTTAGACTCTCTGGCCAAAGGTGTTTTACCTAAAAACAAGGCGGTAGCTGCTAATAAAAACAACACTTGCTGCACCTGGATTAACACTGCTAAGGAAGTTGCAACTCAGTTACATAAGAGCACCAACTAAGGTTGGGGAGGAAGGGAAATTTCCTCCTTGCCCTCTGGGTTCTTCCTGGCTAGTTGAGTAATCAAATTTACATTAGGCAGATTTTTAGGAGGAAAAAAAATTTTAAATGGGCACTTATGGGGGATCTGCACAGGTAAGTGGACTCCAAAGCCAGTGAGGCCAAGTAGAGGTAGAAATCCTGAATTAAAGAATGGGGTAAGGTTCTGGTCCTTCAAGAATAGAAAGGCGTGGCCCTCCGTGGTGGCGCAGCGGGTTAAAGCACAGCACTGAGAACTAAAGCCACTTCCCATGAGTTCGATTCCCACCTGCCTCGGAGGTGACCACATGGTGCAGCAGACCTCTTCTGACCCGCCCACTGCTCCCCTCAGCAGTGTTCTTCATCGATCTGCCCGTTCTGCTCCCCACTCTGTTTTTGGTGAAGCCTCTCGCCGCCCCTCAGCCTCTGGCCTGTACCCTAATCTGTATGCACAAATAAATCTTAAAAAAAAAAAAATAGAACAGCGTGACTCACATGAAGAACAGATGCTCTGTAATTAGACTTTGGACCTAACTTAACAATAAGTTTTTTCCCACAGAAACTATTTCAGCTAATAACCCTAATTCTGGTTAAAACCTTGCCCCCATTTTCATTATTTTAGGTAGTTAAAGGAGTAGTGAATGTTTCTAATAAGCCTGAAGGGCCTCAACTGAACTCCACTGAAAATCATACACGTGCAAAAGTGGCACGTGTTGGGGAGCCTGGCTCTCACCACACCCTCACTTAAAAGGATGATGACTTGGGCTCCCTGGTGGCGCAATGGGTTAGGGTGCAGCACTGCAAGCTGGCCTCAGCCACTTCAGGAAGCATTCCATCCCCAGCCCAGGAGGTGATCCATATGGTAGGGCAGACCTCTCCTGTCTTGCCTGTTTCACCTGCTGCTCCCCTCAGCAGTGTACTTCGTTGGTCTGCCTGTGATGCTCCCCACTCTGTCTCTGGTGAATCCTCTTACCACCCCCCACCCCCCAACCTCTGGCCAGTACACCAGTTCTCTATGCATAAATAAATAAATTTTTTTTTTTTTAAAGGATGATGACTTCAACAGTGGTTTTTCTTTGATTGGCTTGGGTCTTGGGGGGCTCTAAATGCACTCCAAACACTGATAATTATTAGTTTCTCAAAAGACTTTGAATAAACTGTAGTCTCTTAAAGACTTTGAATACCTACCAGCCACCAAGCAAATGATCTCCTTAAGATTGGAATATCATAAAAGAAATAAGGAGAATGGCCATCTTAAAAAGGGTGAAGCTGAAGTCATGATCTAAATGACCTGAGAATAGCACATGGAGGATCAATGAGAACTGTGAGGACTTCAGAGCAATAGTTGAGTGATGTGAGGCCTTAAATTTTACTCCCATCTTCCCTCAGGATGAAAGTCTGATCAAAAGAGGGGAATTGTTAAAAAAGAAATAGGTCTGGCCCTCCCTGGTGGCACAGCGGGTTAAAGCACAGCACTGAGAAACTAAAGCCACTTCCGCATGAGTTCGATTCCCGCCTGCCCCGGAGGTGACCACATGGCGCGGCAGACCTCTCCTGGCCCGCCCGCTGCTCCCCTCAGCAGTGTACTTCGTAGATCTGCCTGTTCTGCTCCCCACTCTGTCTCTGGTGAAGCCTCTCGCTGCCCCTGAGCCTCTGGCCTGTACCCCAGTTCTGTACATGCAAATAAATAAATCTTTAAAAAAAAAAAAGAAGAAATAGGCCTAAAATGGAGTCACTCATGACAGACTACACCTCCAAACCAAGATTTAATATCTAATATAATTTCAGTTTCCATTTCTCCCAGGAATGTAGTCCTGATCAGTCCTCACAAGAATAGCATATAATATACAGAGTAAGAATACTCCACCTACTCCCTCACAGAGGATAGTCTTGCCTGGAAAAATCTTTTCTTTGGCTACTTACTTTCTTATTTTGAAGACCTTCCATTTGTATGACCTCTCTTGAGTCCTCTCTACTTACTAGATTAGATGGAAAGCTGCCTGATTCATGAATACTTTAGTCACCAATTAGATCTCTAAATTTATTCAGATGAATTTTATTAAACTCTATAAAAACAGTATCTAATACTTACATCTGACACTGTGTTAGACCCAGTTCTGAATGCTTTTCATTAACTCACTTAATCTTCAAAACTGTGAATTAGGTAATATTACTATCCCCAGTTTATAGATTAGAAGGCTAAGGCACAGAAATGCTAAATAATTTGGCCAAGGACACACACCTAGTAAATTTTAAGAAGGCTGGAAAGAAATGCTAAGGCATTAAGATGGTAGTTTTTCAGGGTGTAGGGTTGAGAGAGATGACATGATCAAATTTTGAACTAAGACAGTGGAAGATGAGCTGAAACAGTGAGGAGAGATCCCAGACCAGTTTGGGGAGGGCTTTGGGTTTGACTGAGGGAGAGGAGGAGTCTATGAAGATTCTAATCTTTCCCTTAGGTGACTAGGTGTAGATCATAAGTAGGGACAATAAAAAAGATGGAACAGGTTTGGGGAGAGAAGATGAAGTATTTGCATCTGTAAATTTTAAGCTCATTCGAGAAGTCATGTGTAGAGTTGAGACTCTTAGGGTAGAACTGGTTGGTAGTTAGAACCCAAAGAGAGGTGGCAAAACCCAGGGAGAACAGAGATGACAAAAAGTTGTGCGCCAAGGACAGAATTCTGAAGCACTCCAACTATACAGGAAATGCTGGGAAGAATGTGCTTCATATTTAAGATTAAAATAACAAGCACAAATATGAAAAAACAGTTGCACATTTGCTTTTCAAGTTTGTTTTCTTTTAGGAAAGACAAGGTAGCATGGATGTAAGGCAGGGTGGTCAAGACAAGCTTGGGTTTAAATAAGCATTTGCTGTCTAATAACTCTGTGGCTACAGTCAGCTTATTAAGTGTCTGTAAAATGTGAAAGTTACTCATATAGGCATGAAGTGGGTGAATCCACAAAGGCACTGCCATGTAGTGTGGATATAATAAATATTAGATATCATCACTAATGACTATACCAATAGAAAATTATTTTGCATTCTGCTTGCTATACTTTTGGTATGGTGGAGTACAAGTAAACACAGTTTATAGTAGTTAAGGGAATTAGTGGGAACTGATAGAAATGTTGCTATATGAGCTACAAGTCTACATCAAAAAGCTTTCTTTTGCTGTAGTCTAAATATTCAGCAACTACCCTCAGGACGTGGCACGAAGTGAATCCTCAAGAAATGAACTGACAGAGATAACATGTGATTTTTTTTTTTTTTTTAAGGGGAGGGGATACCTCCCTGGTGATCTAGGGGTTATCACAGAGCTATCACAGCAAAGACCTGAGTTCCATCCGGACTAGGACACGAGTGTCACAGCAGACCTCCCCTGTCCTGCTGCTCCCCTTCAGTAGAGCTGCCTGTTCTGAATCTTCTCACCCCTGCATCTATGGCCTCCAACCCAGTTCCTTTACACACACACACACACACACATACAGGGGTGGGGCAGGAAAGGAGGGATTCACATTCTATTTTTCCCAACAGGGCAACTTCCAGTTACCCAGTACATAGGCGGCCACATGGAGTTCAACTCTGCAATGTCTTTTGTGTTCTTTCCGGTTGTCAACCCTTTTCAATTCCAAGCAACTGTCAAGCTGTGGGCTAATGTGTAAAATTCTTAGACCTGCTCTCAGACATTTCACTACTGGAAGAATTATCACTCCTGCAAAGAAAGAGGTGAAGTAGACATACCATTCTTGTCATCTGAGATCTTGCAAAAGAACTTGGCTATCTATGCAGCTCCCCTCCCATCAGTATCAGCCGCATATTTGAAATTCCAGTCTTACAAATCCTCCTTGAGAAAAAGGTTAGAGTCCACAGAGGGCCCATTAAGATGCAAATATGTCATTTGAAAATGGGAACTGCCTTGGCTTCCGTCTGGCACAGACTTATTTATCAGCCCCACGATGTGAGTATCCAGCCTCTTGCCAGAGGCCTAGACCTTGGGTGCAGTAGGGCCTCTTCAGAGCCCACAAGGTGGAGTGGACCTGGGCTAGCGGCCAGGGCACCGCCGACCACCAGCCTCGTCGCAGACCTCCGGCAGGTCCGGGACCAGCCAGGACATAGGCAACCCAGGGAAGTGCCGTGGTGGGGTGGGAAACCGTCACCCTCAGGTCTCCCCGTTCCTCACGAAACCGTCACCCCCAGGTCTCCCCGTTCCTCACGCGGTCGCCTCGACCCTTCCTAAAGCCGGCGGGCTCACGTCAGAACAATCGTGGCCAGACAAGCGGTGCAGTGTAATGTTCATTCATATTCGACTTTTTTTCATCAGCGCAACTTCAGTTACCCAGCACCTGGGCGGCCGCATGGAGTTAAACTCTGCACTGTCTTTTGTGTTCTTTTCGCTTCAACCCATTTACATTCCAAGCTGTAGGCTAATGTGTAATATACAGTTCAGTTTGCCTTTTCAAAGGCACTTCAATTTATAAATAGCATGCCAGGGCTCGCGACCGAGTTAAACGCAGTCAGAGACTTTCGGCATTCGGGCCTCGGCTGGGCGGCAGCTGCAGTTCCGCCTCAGCGCTCTCACAGCTCCCCCACAAGCAGTCAGCAGACCGCGCCCGCGCGCACCCCGCGGCCGAGCCCGTCACGTCCCGAGCGTCGGGAGGCGGGGCCTCCGCCCACACGTCACGAGGCCCCGCCCCACCGCCCTGATATCAACCGCGCCGCCCGCCATTTTGTCTCTAGTGTCTCGTTTGCAGTCGACAGCGCGGAAGGGGGAGTTCTGCTCCGTAGGCGGGAGTCAGGGGACCTGGTCTATTGTTTGTGTTTGACTCCGTAGTTTGGTCCGAGGCCTTCGGAGCTTTCCCGGGGCCCTCGGCAGAAGCTGCAGCGACCACCCCCGCCCCTCCCCTCCGTCCCCGGGACCGGGAGGGACCCAGTCCGCGTCACGCCCCTCAGCGCTCGCCGATCCCTTCTCTGTTGTTGAGTCCGCATCGTGTCCCCCGGAATCAGACGGTGCCCCATAGATGGCCAGCTTTCCCCCGAGGGTCAACGAGAAAGAGATCGGTGAGGAATGGGTCGGCGGGTGAGGGGTGTTGGGGCGATCGCGGGGGCCGAGGAGAGGCAGGGACGACTCGGTGGAGAGTCGGGGACAAGCCCTTTTTGAAGAAAGTAGGGTGAGTCTGGGCCAAGCCCTTGAGCGCAGCGGAAGGAAGCGGCCCCGCGGGTGGGCGTCACCGGCGGTAAATGGGATCCGCGCGGAGGCTGCGGCGCCTGCAGTGCGCCTGGATGGTGGGGAGCGGTGCGCGGCGATAAGTCGGCGGGAGCCCGCGGGACTGGCCGGGGGCAGACCTGTACCCCTGCGGACCCTAGTTTCCGCGCCAGACGTTGGCGCTGGGCGGTGATCCTGGTTAATCTCTTGGCCTGGGCGTCGAGTGGATGGTGGACCCTTAAGTTAAACCTCGGGGACTCAAACGGAACCCAGTATTAGGAGATGTGATGACAGAGTCCATGTATATACTCACACTTTTTTTTTTTTTAAATATATATAAAGAAGAAATGGGATCGAAGCCTGGTCTCTTTAATAGGAAGGCAGCACTGTTGGGGGGAGGATACTCCCGAATTATCTTTCTTATAGATAAGAAAAGGGAGGAGCAGTGTAATTGGGTGGAGTGACTGAAGAAAAGCTGCTTGTACAGGAGGGCATCTTTCTGGAAAGGCTCTCAAAAGCCTGGTTGTGTGACTAGCCCTGCCACGCTGAAGATGGAGGCAGATGTTAAGATTGTGCATCAGGACCGATCCAGGGGCTCAGTTGAAAGCACATTTATTTATTTAAATAAAGTTTAGTGAACATTGTGTTAAGTCATGTTACACACTTTGTAAAGTTTTTACTTATTTTTAAATTTTCTTATTTGTGCATTCAAGAACTGGGGTGTGGGCTAGAGGCTCAGGGTATTTGAGGATTCACCAGAGACAAGAGCAGAACAGGTAATTTTCTAGACAGGTCTGCTGTGCCTTGTGGGTTAGCTCCCGACAGGGTTTTGAACCCATGCTGCTGTAGCTGCAGGTAGCTTCCTCTCAGCACACAGAGCTGCGACTTAACCCCTTGTGCCACCAAGGAGGCCCCCTATACATTTGAATTAACTTACTGTGTTAATTCGGAATTGGAAGCGACCATTGAACCTTTATTTCCCTGTTCGAGTAAATGTATGACGTTGCAAAATACATCGAAGAGGTATTGTTAGAGAAAGGGAGAAGCTGAAGAAGCCAAAACACCCTCTAAGCTGTATGTGGGTGAAGATTTATACCTTGGAGATAACTACTTTAGGATTCTGGATTCCTCTTGGGGTAAGGTTGAATGACTAGGAGACAGCTTTAATCCTGGTTCTCATGATTTTTAAAACTACAAAGGACACACAAGCTTTGTATGCAACTTTGACTACTTTAAGTACATCCAGAAATTCACATACAAAAGTTCGTAATCTCAATATGAATGATTTACTTTTCATTTTTTGTTTCAATTAATCTTTATGAACCATATTTGAAAACTTTGTGGACCTCTAACTTCTAAGGGATGAGTAGATGCCTTATTTCACAAGGTAGAATCATCCATTAAGTAGCCTTTTCATTACAATTTAAAAAAGGGATGGGGGGAGGGCCTGCCCTGGTGGTGCAAGGTGTTAAGTCTCAGAGCTATGAAGCTATCCACAGCCACTACAGCAGTTCTGTCCCCAGCCAGGGAGGTGACCCACTTGGTGCAGCAAACCTCACCTCTCTCCCATTGCTCCTCTCAGCTGTGTATTTCAGTAGAGCTGCCTTTTCTGTTCCTGACTCTGTCTCTGGAGTATCTTCTTACCCACCCCACCCTTTACCCCCACTTCTAGCCTACACACCAACTCTTGTGTATATAAATAAATAAATCTTAATTTAAGAAAAAAATAGATTTCTGTGTTATGTCTTGGGTATTGTGTAAATGTTTCTAATACCAGATAAATCAAAAGCTCTTTAGCCTTTTCTAAGTTTTGGGCTTTTTAACCCAGAGTGTTTTGTTTTTGTTATTGTTTCTTTAAGTATCATTTGGATACAAAGTTAAGCACTAATTTTTTTGTGTAACTTTGCATATATATATCAATAAGAAAAATTACTTTTCCCTTTTCGGTATTAACTATAGCTGTTAGGTTTTCTGAAGTGCCTACCAAAGAGGCAAGATTTTATGAATGATTAGGAGAGGAAGTCTTGTGAGTAGGAGTTACAACTTTGAGCTTCTGCTCTCTTTCACAAGACACTACCACAGATCTTCCCCTTATGGTTATGAAATTGCTGCGAGGAGTGTGGAACTAGATTTGGTTTCCTTGGTTCAGTGGTGACTCAGATGATTTTATTACTATACAGATACTGTGTGGTGTCTTATGTGTTCTCTGGCAGGTAGCCTTTCCCTTATACTAGGGCCACTAAATCATAATCTCTTAGGATACTGTCATTAAATACTTGCAGGTAATGTAATAAAAGTTAAACAGTTTTATAAAAAAGCTTCGTTATTAATCCTATGTTAACATCTGGGTGCCACTTTGATGAGGACCATTGCTACCTAATTGGAGTTTATCCAGAAAAGTATGAAGGTGAAGGTAGGGACTGGACTTGAAACCATGTAATTTAAAGATTACAAAGACTTAAAGAATTTATAACCTGGTGAAAAGATTTAGTTGCTGATAAAATATGGCTATCTTCAACATGTGGATGTCATGTGAGAATAGGATTGGATTTACTAGGTTAGAGACAAGACTGAGTGGGTAGATTGGCATGAAGGAAGATTTGAGTCATTAAGAAGAAATTTCCTGAGAATCTTAACAAAGCTAAAATAGAAAAAACTTTAGGCATCTGTGTTTATGAATATCATAGGAAAAGTCTCAGCTTTAATTTTTGCTTCTAAAGCCATCGTTTGTGTATCAAAGAGTTGAGTAGGGAAAATTTCAGGTCAAGAATGGGAGCTTAAATATTTGCTTTCATGTTCACTCAATAAGTATTTACTAAGCACCTGTTAAATGCCAGGTGCTATATTAGCTATTGATGGAGCACATATTGAAACTGGAAATGTCACTACATGAGTACAGCTTGGGATTATAGATGTACAACTGCTCTAGCAGTAGGAGTATAAATAGCTCTTATTTGAACTTCAGGACACAGGATATATTGAAGTGTTAGAAAGTTTAAGCCATTAAAAAAAAAACACTAGAATCAACTAGACAACCCAACATAATATAAAATAGGAAACGAAAGTAACAACTTGTAATCAAAAAAGTAAGAATAACAGAATTTGAATCCAAGACAATGCTAATGATAAAAAATCCTTGCTCAAAATGAAGGTGATTCCAGCAGTTTGTATGCATGTATGTCCGGGAGGAGCCTGTTGGTCCTGTTTCTTGTTAAATATGGAAGAAAGTTTTTTAGTATGTCAGTATTTGTTATGAATGCTAAATGTAAGTACTCTTGACCAAATTTAAGATGTATGAAATTGTCCATAATTGTCCTTAAACATAATTCAATTTTTGGCATCAGTTTGTGGCTCATAAAAAAAGGGGTTTGAGAGTCACTATTTGAGAATCACCAACAGGAGATTGGACCAAATAATCTTTTAAGTGCCTTATATATAATTCAGAGGTTTTGTGATTTTTATTTATTTATTTTTTTGGGTGGCCTGGGCCTAAAAACAGATAAGCATAATTCTTATTTGATTATAGTGTTTCCCTTTGTCTTGTGATTTACTATGTTAAGGTATTGTTGGCTTGTAATGCTATATAGAGGTATAGGTTCACACTTCAAATGTATGTTACCATACCACACCCACCATTAAAGAACCCATAATCCCTCAGCATAGTCCTTTATGCCCTCTTTTCTCTCTTTCTATTGTTATCCTCCACCCCTGCCTCCAGTAGCCTCAATTGTATTCTATAGAGGTTTGTTTTTCCAGTTGAATACATTTGGCATGTAAAAGTTTTTTGAAAGTTACTTTGTATGATACTCTTTCATAAAGTAACTTGAGTTCTCTTGGATTTTAAATGATTGTGATTTGATGAAAATATAAGGCAATGCAAAAGGCAATTGCGAGCCTTGATTGATCATTGCATTATTGTTATTTTACTAATTTTTTTTTTAAGATTTATTTATGTATACAATGGCTGGGATATAGGTCAGAGGTACAGGGCAGAAGATTCACCAGCGACAGAGTGGGGAGCAAAACGGGGTTACTGAGATGCACTGCTGAGGGGAGCAGCAGATGAGACAGGAGAGGCCAGCTGCTCTATGTGGGTCACCTGCCTGGCCAAGGATCAAACTCTGCAGTAGCTGGGGGATAGTGCTATGCTAAATCCTTGAACCACCAGGGAGGGCCCCAGTTATTTTTTTAATTGAAACTTTATTTAAAAATATTTGCATTGGGAAATTTTAGGAAAATATTTTTACCAAAATTTAAAGGTAAATGTGTAGGGGTCTTTACACCATATATTTGTCTTCAAAGGGCAGAAAGCAGAACTCCTTTGCAGAGAAAAAGGAAAATCTCTATGGAGCTGAATGAGCTCCAAAGTATTATGGAGGCAGTCCCACGTCCACTGTTGATTATAATACATTTTTTCTTCCTTTTAGTGAGATCACGCACTATAGGTGAACTTTTAGCTCCAGCAGCTCCTTTTGACAAGAAATGTGGCCGTGAAAATTGGACTGTTGCCTTTGCTCCAGATGGTTCATACTTTGCTTGGTCGCAAGGACATCGAACAGTAAAACTTGTTCCGTGGTCCCAGTGCCTTAAGAACTTGTAAGAATTTTTTTTAATGTATTTTGTATCTGTTTGTGGAATATACTGTGTTTTTTGTGTGTGTGGTATAATAAAAACACAACATAGAATTTTTTCCTTTGTAGACAGACTTATAAATGCATTTTTGAAACATTTTATATTATTTTATTGTTGGAACTTTTCCCTCACCACTGAGCATTTCTTCTCATCTGAAATTATTCAGGCATGCCTTTCTAAACTGATAGCAACTTTTCCCTTTCCCATCTATAGGATTCTGTTTTATTCAATATCACCATAATAATATTGAAGTTATTTTAACAGATACTTAGAATTATTTAGTGTGGACAGGAGTTCAGAGTAAATAAAAACTATTTTAATCTGACCTTTTTTTCCTCTCTAGTCTCTTGCATGGCACCAAGAATATCACCAATTCAAGCAGCTTGAGGTTGTCAAGACAAAATAGTGATGGTGGTCAGAAA